TAATAAAATTTTTCTTAGCGCCCTCCTAGCCCACTTGGCAGAACATCCGGTTTGCAGGCAAGTCCTCCCAAGGACAGCAGACACCTCGTTTTCAAGCATGTCCGCTGTTACCTAWCTATACCTTGACAGAATATCCCGTTTGCAGGYAGACTTCATCAAGGACAGTAATAGTAATGCAGTCACATCTCATTCTCTACATTAACCAGAGAAAGTTATATCATTTTATACAAATACGTGCACGTTTTCCAAGGAGCAAAAGAAAGTGGTAAAAGAAAAACCGGAGGGCAGACATATTTTGTTTGTTTTTAGGTAGAGAGCTTATAAAGTAGTAGGTGTGTACATTGATTTATACTACWCGTTATGGTTTAATACTACTGGGAGTAGGGGGAGTGCCATATTAGGCTTGACAGTTAAGCAGTGGTTTCATGGAAGGCCCTGCATGCTTTGCTAAGAGAACTTTATCCAGCCTGTTGTTACTAGCCATAGAAAGGCTTAAAGTAGGGTAGAAACATATTTGTGTGAAATTTCTAGAGAGGTCAGGGGGGGTCCACTGCCAGAACAGTCAAATGTATAGTGGGGAAGAATGCCCTGCCCATCTGCACTTTGTGAGGATCAATCAAACCAGATAGTGTGATGTTTAAGAGCTATGAATATATGAAGGACCATAGAACTACAAGAAATCATTGTTACTCTTGTCCCTTGATCATAGTTTATATTGAAGAATGCAGAGATGCTGTTTCCCAGAATCAAAATTTGAATGTTTTGTATTGTGCATTCGTTTCTCTGGAAAGTTTTTTGGGAAAAGAAAAATTCAGCATGTATACTACATAGCCCATTTTTAAAAATGTGATCTCCACACATACCTATATAAGCACATATATATTGATTATCTCTGGGAAGTGGGATTCCTTTGAATTTGACTTTTTGTTTCATTTTATATGAGTCTATTTACAATGAATGTATATTAATCTCTTTTTTTTTTTTAAAGAGAGAGAGAGAGAGAGAGAGAGAGAGAGAATTTTAATATTTATTTTTTTTAGTTTTCGGCGGACACAACATCTTTGTTTGTATGTGGTGCTGAGGATGGAACCCRGGCCACACGCATGCCAGGCGAGCGCGCTACCGCTTGAGCCACATCCCCAGCCCAATGAATGTATATTAATCTCAAGAGTCAATGAAATAAAACTTTCCAAAATGCCCATGCATCCCTTGGTATCTTTTGTATGGGGGGGGGGGCAGTAATTTGGAATTGAACCCAGGAGAGTTCTCCAACCGGGCCACATTCCTTGCCCTTTCATTTTTAATTCTAAGGGGGGGTCTTGCTGAGTTGCTTAGGGCCTAGGTTGTTGAGGCTGGTCCCAAATTTGCAATCCTCCTGCCTCAGCCTCCTCCCTGAGATTAATGTGCACCACTGTGCCCAACCCCTGGGTATCTAATTTTTTTGTTGTCTGTTAAATTTATATGTCAAATAGATCTGGTTAAATCTTATGTTGAATCTCTCATTATCCAAACCCCCAGTTTTTGTTTCCTTATAATCAGGAACCAAACAGATTTAGACGTAGGGAATACTTAAAATTGCTTTTTTCTCTTTTACAATACTGGAGAATGAACCCAGGGGAACTCTACCACTGAGCTACATCCCATTCCTTTTTATTTTTTGAGACAGGGTCTTTCTAAGTTACCCAGGCTGACCTCAAACTTGCAATACTTCTGTGTCAGCCTTCCAAGTTCCTGGGATTACAGGCATGTGCCACTATGCTGGGCTTATAATTGCTTTTTTGCATTAGCCTCACTCCTGCAGTTTCATTATTTTGCCCTTGTATTTTTCTCCTTAATAAGCTAATTTAAGTTCCTTTTGAAATAAGACACATTAAAAATTACACATATATTCAGGTTTTATAGAAAAATGTAACTTTAATAAATTCAACTGGGATAGTAGTAGGTGGGAGACCAATGGTAGTCCCCATGTAAGATCTGATTATTCTCTGGGAGCAAAACACTGCAGAGGAGAYAGACAAGACATCTAAGAACCAATATCCTTCACCTTCCAAGGAAGAAGAGGATGTACTGTAGAGTTGCCCAGAAAAAAAGATCAAGAATCTTCCTTTTCCTGAAACCTATGAAGAAAGAAAGGACTTGTAATATTCAACCAAAGGAAGAGTTTCTAGTTATGTGAGATGATATAATCAATAAAATAATCAGGAAAGGACTTTTTATTTGTGCATTGTAGAGAACTAGCTCCCTTAAACAATCTTCCAATTCCAACTTTAAAACAACTGAAAATGCTAGGATTAATACTAATATCTAATTATTAATTAATTAATATCTATTATTAATCAAAAAATGTGAAGATTTTCTTAGCACTCTTCATAGAAGAAAAAACAAATAAACCGGGCCTCATAAAAAATTAAAAACTTCAGATTGGGGTTTAGGCCTGTGCTAGGGAGTACGTTTAATATGTGCAAGGCCCTGGGTTTTATCCCTATTAAATACTTCTTCTCATAAGAAAGGAATTTCACTGYCTCAACAGATAGAGGAGAGAAAATATTGTGAGAATTTCTTCTATAAGCTGGCCTTTAAGTGAAAACRCAGCTAAAATTGATATTACTTGCATGCTCCTAAAAATATGAAGCCAAGAAGTTATCAWAGTGATTCTAGGATTTGGGCACATGTAGCTCAGTGGTACAGCACTTGCCTAACATGGGCAAGGCCTTGAGTTTGATTCCCAGCACTGCCACAGAAATGAAAGTAGAGCGATGCCTGCTTGGTAATGCCTCAAGGCACTTGAAAAAGAAACAAATGTGGGCTGGGGTTATAGCTCAATGATAGAGCATTTGCCTAGCATGTGTGCGCCACTGGGTTCGATCCTTAGCATCACATTAAATAAATAAATAAAATCTTTAAAAATGAAATAAAAAAAAAAAAGAAGAAAGAAAGAAATGCTGAGAATACAGCGTCACCACCCCCCCCCCCGGGGGTGGGGAACAGGTGGGACGGATTTGAGCTTGTATTCCAAAATTACAAAACAAAAAAGCACTGAGAGAGCCAGCAGAAATAGCAGATAGCAGCATCAGACCCACAAGAACTGTGGTTATCAGACTCAGAAAAAACAAGTGTAATGCTATTTAACATACATTTAAAGAATGGCTGGGCATGGTAGCTCACACCTATAATCCCAGTGGCTCAGGAGGCTGAGGCAGGAGGATCAAGAGTTCAAAGTCAGCCTCAGCAAAGCAACTCAGTGAAATCTTGTCTCAAAAATACAAAATACAGCTGGGGATGTGGCTCAGTGGTTGAGTGCTCCTGAGTTCAATCCCTGAACCCAAAAAGAAAAAGAAAAAAAGGAGCAAGGGTTGTTAACAGGCAGGATCAAAAAAATGAAAGAAAGGCAAGAATAAAAGGAGAAATTTAGAATATGATTAAGGAGTGAAAATTTTTTAAAATGAGGATATTTGGAAAAATAATTAAGTAGAAATCAATAATAGTAACTAACAATAACTGAAATAAATTGAAGATAGAATTAGTGACCTAGAAGGACCTGAAGAAATTATCCAGAAGGCAACATAAAAAGAAATAAAGATAAAATATGAAAGATAATAAAAATGGATGATACAAGAGAAAATTTAATAACAAATTATACCTTCAGGAAGTGAGAATTGAAAACATGGGAGAAAAGCAATGTTAAATGAGATAACAGCTGTTAATTTTCCAAGGTTGATGAAAAATTCTCAGCTTCAGAAAGTCTAATAAATCCCAAACTATACAGGATAAATAAAAGAAAGCCATATCTGATATACTGTATTGAAACTGCAGAACAGCAAAGACAAAGAGGACTTCTTAAAACTATTTAGAAAGCCCATTTTTTTCCTTATTATTATTATTATTATATATTTTTTTTAAGTACTGGGGATTGAACCCAGAGGCTCTTTACCAGAGCTACATTACCAGTCCCTTTTTTATTCTGAGTTAGGGTCTTGTTAAGTTGCCAAGGCTGGCCTAGAACTTCAATTCCTGTCTTAGTCTCTAGACCTCCAGAGTAGCAGGGATTACAGGAGACTGTCAATGCACTAGGCCCACGTTCTTTACTTCATGCATGTCTCTCACCAAAAGAAAACTACTTTGATTGCATTTGAAGATTCCAGCATAACATACTGATCACCAAGCAATACCTGCCTGTGTTTTAAAATTTCCTTTTAAATAACTTACAAGATTCAGCTCACTTAGTATAAAAAGGGGTAAAAGTATCATTTTAAAAAAATTAAAAGGCCACAAATCTCCCTATTAGGGATGGAGCCAAATATAAAACAATTGTTTAGTACTACAAGTCTCACTTGAGTTTGAACGGGCAGAGGGAGAGGAAAGGATACCTACTTGCAGTTGGTACATGTGTAGAAGACAGTCTGTCCTTCATCAGCTGAGCGCATCTGTCTGGTGTGATATGCCATTCCCTCATGACCACACTGAGAGCAGCGCCTGTCAACCTAGAGAGAAACTGGTGGATTAGGAAGGCCTAGTCATACCTCCCTACCTTTCACAGAAGTCAAGCTATCATATTCCTCAGATATCCTCATCTAACCCCCCCCCACCTGCTCTCTCTTAGAATTGGGTACAAAACTCCCTAAAGCTCATGAAATAATACCAAGAAATAATAAGTGGGATGGCATCAAATTAAAAAACTTCTGCACAGGAAAGGAAACAAGAATGTGAAGAGTGAACCTACATGAGAAAAATGTTTGCCAGCTATTCTTCTGAAAGAGGATTAATACCCAAAACACATAAAGAACTAAAAAAGCCCACTTAATATTTAAAAAAACAACTAGGGGCTGGGGATGTGGCTCAAGTGGTAGCGTGCTCCGCTGGCATGGGTGCAACCCGGGTACCATCCTCAGCACCACATACAAACAAAGATGTTGTGTCTGCTGAAAACTAAAATGTAAATAAAATTAAAAAATAAAAAAACAACTAAATAACAAATTAATAAATGGGCAAATGAACTAAAATAGACACTTTCCAAAAGAAGAAACACATGACCAACAAATATATGAAAAAATGTTCAACACTGTTAGTAAGTAGGGAAATGCAAATCAAAACTACACTGAGATTTCATCTCACTCCAGTTAGAATGGCAGCCATCAAGAATACAAACAATAGGCTGATGAGAATATTGGGGAAAAGGAACATTTTACACTGTTGGTGGGGTTGTAAATTAGTTCAACCACTATGGAAATCAATGTGCAGTTTCCTCAAAAGACTGGAAATTGGAAACACCATGTGACCCAGCTATCCCACTCCTTAGTGTCTATCCTAAAGAATTAAAGTCATTATATTATAGCTATATATGCATACCTGTTTTTAGCAGCATAACTCACAATAACCAAATTATGGAAATAGCCTAGGTGGTGCTCAATATAGGAAAAAAATGAAGAAAATGTGGTGTATGTAGTCAATGGAGTTTTATTCATTCAAGTCATAAAGAAGATGAAATTATGTCATTTGTAGGAAAATGAATGGAATTTCAGGGCATTCTGTTAAAATAAGTCAAACTCAAAAAATTAAAAATGATTACATTTCCTCTCATAGGTGGAAGCTAGAGAGGAAAAAGGAAAGGGGGGGGGAATCTCATGGAATTGAGTACAAAAACTCCAGATCTCTGCAATCACACCTCCTTAACTTTCCCACTCTTCTTATGGAGCCAGTCCTTGATCTTGGAATAACTTACCACAGGTCCCTGGATCTCAGGTCCTTCCTCCACCGACATAGGCAAGGCTGTCCCCAGTTTGTTAAATACAACTGAGGTCTTCACGATTTTCCCTTCAAAGTCTGTACAGGCAGTAAAAACTAATTGTAGAACCGGGCTGAGGGACGGAATTACCCTCCCAATTAGTCCCGGAGGCCTCTTTCCGTTTCCTTCCTGGACTAAATGTACAAGCGCCTGACTTCTGCTGTTGGGTCCCCCTCCCCAGTCTCGAGATCCCCAGCCTCCAACCCTTCCAAGTTGGGCCCTCGGCTGGAACAAATGCCTAGGATCTTCTCACCCCGCACATTGATGGAAAAGCCACAGCGAATACAGGTGACCGCATCCTGAGCCCCAGGCAGAGGCAGGACCGAGCCGCAATCCGGACAGAAATCCAAGTCTGAATGAAAGCTAGAGCAGGTACTGGCGTGGTCCATGATGGACAATAGGTCAAGAGCTAGGAAGGGAACGCAAAGTTTATTAATAAACCAACAATAAAGCGGAAACTCCTTCCAATTTAGGGATCATTCTTCCTCGGCCCCAGAACGCAGATATGGAGAACCCTCACCCTTCCCTCACACACGCCTCCTGACTCGGTGATTAAGGAGCCGATACGTCCGGACTTCCCCGGCTGTTAAGGACTGAGGGACTTGGGACCTTTCTTAGGACCGGCAAAGGTACTCTAACTCCGTAGGCTAGAGCGCCGGTTTTGCGCCGACTGCGGAGCAGCGAGCGCGTGGTGTGCTAGAGCGTCAACACGTTAGCGGTTCGCTTGGCCCGTGACGTCATAATCAGTTGCGGGTGTCATAATTAATCGCGAACCTTCTCCTGAATTGGGAAGAAGCAGAACTTCTCCGACAGGTAGCTGTCTCACTCCACGTTTGGCCCGAAACTGTGACGTCAAGTAAGAATCACGAGGAACCAGTGCTGGACCTCTAGGACTCAGTCCTGGGATTTTTTTTTCCTGCTTTTGTATCCTAAAGAGACCTAGTCACGGGGTGGGGGGTGGTCCCCCTAAAAACGTACTTTTTTTTTTTTTTTTTTTTAAGAATACCTACTCGATCGGGTTAGCGAACTACAACTCCTATCGTTCCTCAGCGGGCACGTCTCTTTTGAGACTGCGCAGTGGTTAAAAACAAAGCTAAGCGTTCTGGGATTTGTAGTGTTGCCTGGGCCCTCCAAGCCTAGCCTAGGCTGCAGTCAGCGTGCGTCGTGTATTCTTTTGGGGGCAGTTCAGGGCACTTGGAAGGGGTGAGTCCATTTTTAAAGGGTCAGGGAATGGTGAGAGTGAAGAAAGAGGAAGACACCTGGTCCCCGTGGAACGAAAGGAATAAGAGATGGAATGGGTCGCTTGGGAAGGAGCTCAGGATTTGGAGGTAATGAACAGAGGAGATGGGGCACCTTTCTCCTAGGGTCCTGCCAGCTGAGGGAGGCTAGCATTAGTCAAGAGCGCCCCTTTGGTAGGATTTCATAAGACTTTTTTTTTTTTTTTCTTTGTGACTATCTTCCATCCTCCCCTACTTTCTTTTTGTCCAACTCTGAATCATCCTTTTCATTCCTTGGGTGGCAGCTGACATTCCTCTTCCCTTTTATAAAACAATAAGTCTCTGTAGAAAATTTTTAGCCTATAGTGTAAATACAAACTTGTCCCGAAGGGGCAGCTTCTAGATGAGTTTCCTAGTTCCATTTCAGCCCTCCCAGCACTATCCAATCTCATAGCAGTGTTAAGCTCCTTCATATAAAAGTTCTGAAGTCATCACTGTTTTCTCTTTTGAAGGACACAAGCTGTGATCTTTTCTTAGGAAAGACATCTGCCTACATATCTCTACAATATGACTTCATGGTGAAGCAGCTAAGACTCTTGGCAAGCTACTGTAGAATGACAAGCCCATATTCACTTAACTCTGGAAGTGTTATTTTGTTTTACAAAGGAGGTGTGTTGCCCATGATGATAAGCAAGTGTTTTTGTTTTCTTTCTTTCTTTTTTGATGACACTAGGGATTGAACTATAGTAACCAGTCTTTTTTATTTTGAGACAGGGTCTTGCTAAATTGCCCAAATTGACYTTGAACTTGGAATTCTTCCACCTCAGCCCCCAGAATAGATGGGATTACAGGTGTGCGACCACCACATTTAGTGGTAGGCAGTCTTTATTTTTGCTTTTCTGTGTGTTTTTTTCCTTTCAAAGTGGAAATTGAAATTAGTCATCCTTGTTCACCATCTTGCCCTTTATAGTTTGATATCCAGCAAACACCCACTATTTTAATACTTGCCTAATGCAATAAAAGAATACAAGCATTATAAGATATGGCTTTTTCTGAACAAAAGCTTACAATATGCGCATTATTTGTTAAACACCTATGCCAGGCTTTGAGCTGAGGTTGGGGCTGCAAAGTTGAAATCTGAGAACTTAGAACACAGTTGAAGCCTTGTGCTGTTGCAAGTACCTAGTCCCAGCAACTTGGGAGACTRAGGCAAGAGAATTGCAAGTTTAAGGCCAGCCTGGGCAACTTAGTGAGACCCTGTCTCAAAATAAAAAATACAAAGGACTGAGAATGTAACTCAGTGGTAAAGTGCCCCTGGGTTCAATCCCAGTACCACATAAATACATATGAACAATACAATGAAAGTGCATTAATAATTATAACATATGAGAGCCTGGATCAGACAGATAAAATAAACACTCATCAACTTTAGGGAAGATTGCTAAATGCTCTCATAGAAAGATGTAGACAATTTATAGTGAATATTGAAAACCTATGTCAGGTTTTCAGTGAGGCTGGGACTACAAAGTTGAAACGTGTTTTTATAACAAAAGAATAATTAGAGCACAATGAAAGTGCATTACTAAGTACAAAATGGGAGACCCTGAGTCAGACATATAAACAAACATGTCTATAAACCTCAAGGAAGACTGGTAAATGCTTTAATAAAAAGATGGGTAAATACAATATTATGGTGAATATAAGAAAAAGATTCTTAGATATTACGTGATGAGGTAATCAGCAACCAAATCAAGAGTTTTGAGAATTTGGAATTATAGACTAAGTACTGTATTAGATATGTACTGTATGAGTATGTACAAAAAAATGAAAGATGCCATTTTTATTAAATCTCAAGCTAGGTACACATAGACAAAAAAGAATGTGCTTTCAAAGTCAGCGAGACCGCTGGTTGCAGTGGCACATGTCTGTAATCCCAGCAGATAGGGAGGCTGAGGCAGGAGGATGGGAAGTTCAAAACCAGCCTCAGCAACTTAGCGAGGCCCTAAGCAACTCAATGGGACCCTAACTCTAAATGAAATATAAAAAATGGCTGGTATGTGGCTCAGTGGTAAGCACCCCTGGGTTCAATCCCCAGTACCAAAAAAAATCARTGAGACCAAATATTAGATATCTTCTCCAATAATATAGGTAAGTCATTATATTTTTAGATATAAATTATAGCTCCCATCTTTTATAAGCCTAAATTTCAAAATCAAAATATTAAAAGTCATATCACATCATAATGGAAATCATGGTTGATTTTCAAATGAGCTGTAGAAATAGTGTTTAGAGGAGGGAAATCACTGACAAAGTAGACCAGAAAGACTTCATAAAGAATTGGGGGAGGGGGACYGGGGATGTGGCTCAAGCGGTAATGCACTTGCCTGGCATGCGTGTAGCCCGGGTTCCATCCTCAGCACCACATACAAACAAAGATGTTGTGTCTGCCAAGGAGTAAAAAATAAATATTGAAATTCTCTCTCAAAAAAAAATTTAAAAAAAAAGAATTGGGGTTTGGGGGTAGGGTTGTGGCTCAGTGGTAGAATGATCCCCTAGCACACGTGAGGCACTGGGTTTTGATCCTCAGCATCACATAAAAAATGAAATAAAGATATTGTGTCCATCAACAACTAAAAAAATAAATATTAAAAGAATCAGAGGCTTGACTTGTGAAGGACAGATAGATAGCTACCATTTACCATTTACTGAGAACTTCCTATACATCAAGCATCATGTCAGTCTCTTTACATCTAATTTACATTTGTTTTTTATCACCCCGAGAGGTAGTTTTTGGTCTTATATCTTATTTATAAATGAGGAAACTGACCTAGGGAGAAGTTAAATGAATTGTCCTGAATCACATAACTAGGAAGTAATGGAATTAAGATTCACTTTTAGCCTTGTCAGCCTCTAATGTCCATGCCTTTAACCATCAGTGCTATAAAGGGCACAGAGATATATATCAGGCATCCTCAATGGCTTAAGTATGACCTCACAGTAAACTCAGGCTAGACACATAAACTCAAGGACAACACATAAAAAGTTGGTAGTCTTCACTTGTGTTGCTGTCAGCCTGCCCTATAAATAAACCAGAGTAACCGTAAATTCCCATCCTTCGAGCTTCAACAGGGAGTGGTCTCGTAATGCATTTAGGGTGAAGGATGATTGCCAACATAAGGAGGACAAGCAGAGGGGTGGACCATCAAATAAAAACAGAATTTCAGTACAAAACTTTAGAGAGCAGAGATGCTGTATGTACTTATAGAGGCACAGAGGGACCGGCTCAAGAAACTGCAGAAAGACAATGAACTGATAAAACCAGAGTCTAGAATTATATCAAAAGACAAAAGAGGCCAGGGGACTGAGCCATCTGAAATAAGTATAATTGGACAACATGTCACCAAGGAGCCTATTTCTTCCCTCTTGAAACCCCTGATACAAGATTCAGAATGGTTCACATTGAGTCCAGAAGAGAAGTATGCTTTTAATTCATATGAAAGGAAAGATTCTCTTATTAAAAGAGCATTCATTGGGCTGGGGATGTGGCTCAAGCGATAGCTCGCTCGCCTGGCATGCGTGCGGCCCGGGTTCGATCCTCAGCACCACATACAAACAAAGATGTTGTGTCCGCTGAAAACTAAAAAATAAATATTAAAATTCATTCTCTCTCTCTCTCTCTCTTAAAAAAAAAAAGCATTCATTATTCTCCACTATAGGAATGCATTGGCTCCCCACTGCCTGTATAGTCCTGCCTATTAGCAGGTTTTCTCTTTGTGGGAGAAATGTYCCTAGTCTTGGCCAAAATATTTAGGGTCTTTGACCCAGACAATATGTAAGTAGATATGTTAACATCTCCCACATTCTAATCTATCTTTGCTTTTTAATCTTCCAGATTGGCTTGGGCTAAAGCATCTAAAGACCCTAGGATTGCTGCAGATCAACATTCTCCACTGGAGAAAAAGATATTGGTAAATAAGCTATATTCATATCAGACATTTAGGAACTACTCAGAGAAGGAACTTTAGGTGCCCAGTGACACCTTCAGGTAGAAACATTACACACTAGTAATGTTTCCCAGACATTTTCATAGTTGCAAAGTGAAATATCATTTTGAAGATTCCCAACATTATATATTTTTAAAGCTAGTTATTGATCATTGGTGGGTACTTAATATTTTATACTTTTGAGAGTAATATTGAACTTATTACATTAAAGTAAATTTAAAAAGCAAGTATTAATAAGGAAGGTAAGCTCCTGTTTAAATATGTTCAAAGGAAAAATATGATCACATTATAAAATTCTGAACCTCACTTTGACAGAATCTAGGTGGTGTGCATACAACAGCAGCAAGACACTTGATGAGTAGAAAATGTCAAGAAGAGTATGAAACACTCTGTAGGGAACAAGCTGTTTCTCTTGACTACTGGCTTGCCAAAGCAGAGTCTTATTATAATAAAAGATTAGTGGAAATGTTGAAAGAAGAGAAGACTGGCAATGAAATGAATACAGAAATGGAGGAGGAAACAACCCAAAGCATAGAGGGACAAAAACAGTACTATTGGGTACCTGAGAGAGAGAGGAAACAGATACAAAGGCACATACATCAAACAGGCCAGGCCAGAGAATTTAAAAGCAAAACATTTAGACAACCAAGACCCCTCAGTGCAACAGTATTACCAAAAATTAAGCCAGAAAAGCATAGCATCCCAAAAGCACAGAGAAGAAAGCAGGTAAATGAGAGAGAACAGATGCAAATTAAAGATCATCAAGAACGCATGATTCGAGGGAGAGAACTTATAGAGCAAAAACTCAAGGAAAGAATTTTGAGGAAAAGTCAGAGCCAGCTACCTACATATGAGAAGCAAGAGAGAATACAGAAAGAGGTAAAAGAGTTTGAAAGAGTTATTGCATATCCACTTTTCCAGCCTCGCAATAGAAGTCGGATTAAGGTGAATATTCTTATGGAAAAGCATCAGAATACAGAGGAAGTGGATACAATTATAAAGCCACATCAAAGAAGATTCTTGGTTGTGCCACCCTTTTTGAAAAGCCAAATTAGGAAAATAAAAGATTAGTAAAGTTTCAATGCTTTTGTGATGAAATCATACCTCTTAAATGAACCCTAATTTCTTAAGAGTTGTCTCTGCTAAGGGTGTAGTCATTGTTCCCATTTGTATCACATCATAAGTATTAAGAAAGTTCTGAACTTGAAAACTTGCTTAGCTATTTTTGGTTGCTTTGTAATCAAGTTGCTTATGCTTTTCAGTGTTCAATTTCCTTATTTGTAAAGTTTACCTATCCTTTTCAATGTTCAATTTCCTTATTTGTAAAGTGAGGATAATATTTCATAGAATTTATGGGAGGATTGTAATTTTTATAGAGCATTAATATGTATTAGTTTCCCTCCATGAGGAAGATCTAGCTTGAGTGATGGTGATAAATAAGGAACTTATAAGGAACTTTTTTCATCTGCCTCTCTGATTCCTCCTGCTCCCACTCTCAAGATTATCTTGATATTACTATGATTCAAAATACCCCCTTTTACTTAGGTGGATACATTCATACCTTCATCAGAGAACTACGAACTGGGCCCTAAAAAATCTAAATTGTGCCATATAACTTATTGCATGATAAATTTGATTTTAAGAATCTCCTATTTGTAATGCATCATGTTAATTACTGGGGATGAATAAAGAGAAATCCCTGCCATTGAGTAGTTTACAGTTAATGGCAAAAATCACTCAGTAAACAGATAACACATATGGTGAGGGTTATGACAGAGGTGTGTACAGAACACTGTACAAGAAAGGACATTAACCCACCTAGATGAGCAGGGTGAAGAAGATGGAAGTCAGAGAAGTAGTGTATTAGTCTCACATTTCTTCCAGTTCCACATTTTATCATTGTCTATCATCCACTGAAGTAAGGCTTTCCCTATTTGTGGATTCACTCAGGGTTAAGCAAACTCAGCCTCTCTCAAACACATGCCACTAGTACTTATTTTAAACCAGAAAGCAAATTTATGAATTTAGTGGAATTTTAATTACCAAGCACGATGTAATTTATTGTTTTCGAGACAGTCATTTTCTTTCTAGATACCAGAAATTTGTGGAAGCAGTATTCATCATTGGTGAATAGAGAACCAGAGAAATGGAAACTGGTTGCCGTAAAGAATATTTTACTTAAGTTGTAGTAATCCTGATGCTCACCCTCTTGTACTGCTAGTACTCTCCTGACCATGAATTTTTCTAGATCTGTATTGTACAATAGAACTTTCAGCAGCGATAGAAATGTTCTACATCTGGGTTCCTCAGTAGATTAGCCACTGACAAATGTGTCTAGTGCAGCCAAAGGAACCAGATTTTTAAATTTTAATTAATTTAAATTTAAATTGCCGCATGTGGCAAGTGACTGCCCTATTACACAGTGTAGCACTGGATAGGATAATCCTGGGTTCCAGATTCCAGTACCACCATCAGTTTTCTGTCTTTGATAGTATTTGCTTCTTTTATTTTCTTTTAGCCTCAAAGGATTGTGAGAACTTAAATTATTTTGTAAGCCCCAAAATAATGGGCTTAGAGTGAGTACATAGTAGTTCTTTAAAATTTAAAAAAATCCAAATAGGGGCTGGGGATGTGGCTCAAGCAGTAGCAGGCTCACCTGACATGCGGGCGGGCCCGGGTTCGATCCTCAGCACACATACAAAAATGTTGTGTCCGCCGAAAACTAAAAAAATAAATAAATAAATATTAAAATTCTCTCTCTCTCTCTCTCTTCTCTCTCTCTTTAAAAAAAAAAATCCAAATGACCACATGGTAATTGTACATATTTATGGGGATAGAGAATGATATTTCATTATATGTGTACATTGTATAATAAACAGATCAGGGTAATTAGTATACCTACCACCTGAAATATTTATTGTTTCTTTGTGTTAGGAACATTCAAAAAATTTTTCTAATAGCCATTTAGAAATACCGTTGTCAATGTATTACCCTATTGTGCTGTAGAATATTAGAAGTTATTTCTCCTACTAAACTGCCCATCTGTACCCATTCATTATCCTTTCTCTCCATATCTTTTTCCCTCTGTCCTTTCTAGCCTCTGGCAACCATTATTCTATTCTCTGTTCCTGTGAGATAAACTTTTTAGACTTCACATACAAGTCAAGAGCATACAGTATTTATCTTTCTGTGCGTGACTTATATTACTTAATTTAATGTTCCATCCATGTTGCCACAAATTATATAATTTCATCCTTTTTATGACCAAATAATATTCTGTTCAGTATATATACCATATCTATTATATTTATTCGCCTTTTAATGGGCACCTAGATTGATTCTGTATGTTAGCAATTGTGAATAGTATCATAATAAACAGAAGTGCAAATGTCTTTTCGATATACTAATTTTATTTACTTTAGATATATATCCAGTAGTGGGATTGCTGGATGATGCATAGTTCTATTTTCAATTTTTAAGGAACCTCCATATTGTATCTTAATGACTATACCAATTTACATTCCCACCAACAGTGTATGAGAGGTCCTCTTTCTCTGGATCCTTATGAACATTTGTTATTTTTTTCTTGATAGAAGCTATTCTAATTGGGGTGAGATGATATCTTTTTTTGTTTTCGATTTGCATTGCCATGATGATTAGTGATTCACATAGTTCCTGAGAACATTTGTATATCTTCTTTTTTTTTYCCTATTCAGAACTCATTTTTATATCCAGATTTTTTTTGTTGTTGTGAGTTGAGTTTTTTATATATTCTGAATATTAGTTATAATGAGTTATAATAATTAGTTATAATGAACTCCTATAAGTTGATAAGTAAATTCAAGTCACCTATAAGTTAGTGTGATATTAGTCTCTTGTCTGATAAATAGTTTGCAAATATTTTCTCCCTTTCTATGTGTTGTCTCTTAACTCTATTTTTTKTGTGTGTGTGTGCAGAAGAATTTTAGTTGAATGTAATCTCATTTGTCAAGTTTTGTTTTTAATGCCTGTGTTTTTGGGGTCTTATCCAAAAAATATTTGTCCACACCAGTGTCCTAGGCATTTCCTCAGTTTCTCTGTAGTAGCTTTGAGTTTTACATCTTTGATCCATTTCAAGATTTTTTTTTCTACTACATATTGAACCCAGGGGTGCTTAACCACTGAGCCACATCACAGTCCATTTTATTTTATTTATTTTATGTTATGTTATGTTATTTTATTTAAATTTATGACAGGATCTTACTAAGTTGCTTAGTGCCTCACTAAGTGGCTTCGACTGGCTTAGAACTTRAGATCCTCCTGCCTCAGCCTTCCAAGCCACTGGGATTATAGGTCTGTGCCACTTCACCCAGCTCAAGTTCATTTTTGTATGTTATATAAAATTTGTGCCTAGTTTTATTCTTTTGCAAATGAATTTTCAGTTTTCCTAGTACCATTTGTTTAAAATATCATCCTTTCTCAAACGTGTATTTTTGGTGCCTTTGTTAAAATTTTGTTGTGGATTTATTTCTGGGTTTTCTACTCTGAAGCATTGGTGTACATGTCTCTTTTTATGCCAGTATCACACTATTATGATGGCAGTAAAATAGTATGTTTTGAAGTCAAAATTTGCTCATTATTACTTTGGCAATTCTGGGGTTTTTGTGGTTCCATAAAAATTTAAGGAGTAGCAGGCACAGTTTCATACACCTGTAATCCCAGYGGCTCTGGAGGCTGAGGCAGGAGGATCCGAAGTTCAAAGCTAGCCTCAGAAAYTTAGGAAGCCCTATACAACTTATCAAGACCCTGTCTCTAAATAAGATATTAAAAGGGATGGGGATGTGGCTCAGTGGTTAAGCACCCCTGGGTTCAATCCCTGGTCCTATCTCCCAAATTTAAGGAGTGGTTTCTTTTTATTTTTCTGAAGAATGTCATGGGTATTTTAAGAGGGATTGCATTGAATCTGTAAATCACTTTGGGTAGTGTGGACTTTGTAACAAAATAAATACTTCCAGTCTTTGAACATTAAATGTCTTTTCATTTTGTGTGTGTGTTCTCTTCAATTTCTTGTAGTATTTTATGCTTTCCATTACATAGAGTTCTTTCACCTCCTTGCTTAAATTTATTTTCAGGTATTTTATTCTTTTTGTAGCTGTCATAAATAGGACTGATTTTTTTTTTCTGCTACTCCATTTGTGTGTGTGTGTGTGTGTGTGTATACGTATATATATATGTGTGTGTGTATACACAGACAGACACACACACACACTTTTTGTTTGCAAAGGTCTGCTGATAAATCTGCATTTGGTTGAATGGAGATTCCATTATATATGACTTGATATTTTTCTCTTAATGCATTTAGAAATCTCTTTGTTGTTGACTTTTGATAGCTTGCTTATAATATACCTTGAAGAGGATCCCCTTTGGTTGAGTTTATAATTGGGATCCTTTGAGCTTTGTGAGCCTGAATGTGCATATCTCTCCCAAGAATTGGGCAGTATCAACTCTTATTTCATTACATATGTTTCTGTATCTTTTTACAACTGTTTTTCCGCTGGAACTCCCAAAATTCAGATGTCTATTTAATAGTATCTGATAGGTTCTCAGGCTCTTTCTTCTTTAGTCGTTCTTTATTTATCTTTTTCTTCTTGACTGGTCTCAGAAACCAAAAGATCTGTTATTAAGGTTCAGTTTTTTTTTTTCTTCATACTTGTAATCCCAGCTGCTGTCTAGAGGCTAAGGTAGGAGAATCACAAGTTTTAAGTCAGCCCGGGCAACTTAGAGCCTGTTTCAAAATTTTTAAAATTGAAAGGATTGGGATATAGAGCACCCCTAAGTTAAAACCTCAATACCATAATTTTTTTTTCTGCTGCTTCATCTAGTCTGTTGTTAGGGATCTCACATATATTTTTTAAATTTTTCATTCACTGAATTTTTCATTTTTCAAGATTTTTGTTTGGTTCTTTTTTTATGTTGTCTGTCTTGTTGTATTTCTCATTCAGATCATGAATTGTTTTCCTGACTTCACTAAATTGTTTGTATCTCTTGTGTCTCACTGAGCTCCCTTTAGATCATTATATTTAATTCTTTTTCAGACTATTCATAAATTT